AGTTTTGCATGCTTCAGTCTTGTGTAGTATGTTTGGTTTTTCATGCAGACCTTTACTAGAGCATGAAATCACCTCTCACTCCATGAGGAAAGAACATGTTATCTGTATGTGGATGTGTGTCAGATTTAACCAGGAGTTGGTTGCACTTCCTGAAATGCAGGATAGTACACATAAAATATTAACATTGGTGTTTGCTAAGGCAATCCTCAATATTACTGTTCATGCTCATACTAATTCAATAGATATTTGGACAAACCCCTAACTCCAAGTAGTAAACTCTAAGGACATGAATGATACGCCTTGTGAAAAAGAAGTGTGCTTAATTGTATTCATTTGCGTGTAATTTTAGTGTACATCAAATCTTAAAAGTGTGTAAAAAACTGTACTTGCAGATTTGAAGCTTTACTTTAAAGTACATTTTAAAATAAATCATTATGTTTTAAAGAAGTATGCTTTGATGAGTTGACTAACACCTAAAGCACATTAAGTACTTAATTTCAACGGTAGTGTGTTAATCGATATCACATATAAAGCTGAAATTTATTAAATTGCAACTTCATTAAAACTGCATAATTACAAGATTCATAGAGAAATGACATTTAAAGTATTTTTAGTTTATTATAAACGCTTGTCAGTACATTTGGCAGCACACTTTACAATATAAGTACTTATGAAGTATGAAGCAGGTCAAAACAGCACTCTAAAGTTCAACTAACTGCATTTATAATAATGTATTTTAATTTTATAGCAATTAACATGCAATTATGCATCAAAAACAGCCAGTTAACACTTAAATATATTCTTTTAAAATATATAATTTCTGTAAAAAGTACTCTTTTAAAAGTATGCTAAAGTGTACTCCTTTTTCACAAGGGACTTCTTGGTTTTTGAGAAAATAAACATATCCAGGTCACACGTGTGTGAGTGTATATGTGTGTGTTTCTCACTTGCTTTGATTCTCTATTTTTCCCATCATGTTCCAAACCAGTACAAAACCTCGAATGCCATGTGCTTTGATGCTGCTGCACAGGTCAGACACCATACAATACAGAGAAACACAGCTGCCAAACCTTCCCAGACTCAAGACCTCACAACCCCGCAGCTATTGAACCTCTATTTAACTCTCTTCTTTGTGTTATTTACAGCAATGTAAATATTGGATACAAAGAAAACTGGATATTGTAAATATAGTCTGAGAACACTCACTTTATTATGCATTGTGCATTCATGAATCTAATTCATTGAATAGTATTAGAATAGACAGAAAAGGGCAATTTGAAATGCACCACTATAACCACGCAAACAAGTTCTACAAAGTATCCTGGTACAGGACATTCTACTAGGGTTATTGGACCACTTATGTACCATTAGTATCTTCAAGGTACAGAGTATCATGTACCATGTAAACACCATTGTACATGAATATAGTGATCATTCAGTACCATGGTACCACCACTGTAAGAGAAAAGTACATCAATTTGTCTTGAAATGTCAAGGCTCATATATATCTGGAAATTATTTCTTATAAAAGCGCACAGCACTGTGCTTACTGACTTATGACTGTTCTCGTAATCATCAAATAGTCTGTGAGTCAGCGTTTCATTACTCTACTTCTGAAAAAGACAGTTACATGACCACCTGCTAAATCCCACATCACCCCTCAAACTTTCAGGGAGTTTTCAGCAAACTCTGAATATTCTGGATTGCTCAGAATTCCTCAAAATCTTCCCGTGCTTTTCCCAACAAGGGGGTTTTAAAGATTAAATAGCCCTGACGCATGACTCCGCTGACTGTCCAGCTGTAATTTTTCCTCATCTAGTGTTTGTTTCCATCAGAGCGGCTGACGCTGAGTTAATGAACCCTGCTTCAGAGACCCTGCACTTCCTTCCTTTCTCAGGGTTTCCCCTTCAGAACAAAACAAAGATAGGAGCTTCCTGAAAAATATAAATAAAAGTTCAGTCAGCCTCATAGGACTGTTTCCTCTAGCACAGTCTAGAAGGGCTCTGGATCAAAAAATAAGCTGTATATGGGTAATGCCACTAATACATGCTGTTTTTGAGACACATTGGGCTCTGAATGATAAATTAACAAATGAGCTATTGGTATGAATGTGTAATTCGAGAAAGAAACAGCAGTAATAAGGTTGCACTCTTATACTAACCTTTTACTGTACCGAAGCCTATTAAACACCTGTAAAACAGGCCCTATAAAACAGCCCCTCCACATAGCGACCACCATCAGAAGCCATAAACACACACAAACACACACCTCTTACACTCACGGCAGCAGTAGACATGTGAACCTAATCACCCGTGAGACTTCACGCCAGCTGCAGTACCGATCAATACCTGCTGTGTGTTAAATGAAGTCTTGAGAGAGAGTTTCAGAATGAGGGATGGAGAGCATAGAAGGAGAACTAAAGCATTTGTGGGATGGAAAAAATGAAGATTTTTGGGTGGGGTGCTATCTAGATTCAAAACAACCTATATCAGCAAGCTTTCATTTTGAGTGTTTATTTTTGTGTCAGGAAGGGAGGTCTTTGATGGTGATCTGAGGACATCAGCGTGGTCCTCATGCAGACTCTGTCCTCTGTTCTCACTGACCTACTAAAAGTCTGAGAAGTCTCTTTTAAAATAAAGCGATTAGTGATCATGGTTGAGAAATAAATTAGACATTGCTGCAAGTTTCTTTTCTGTCCATTCTTCCTTATGGTGTTCACCACTGACATTTGATTTAGTTTAATAATTTAGCACATGCATCATCAGATGTAACTTTACATCCACTTAAAACAAATATTCTTTTAAATGTACAGTAAAAAACATCTTGAACTATCTAATCAACGAATTATAATAACCATAATAATACAGAAGTTAATCAAGTTAATCAAGTAGCCTATAAAAGATGGTGTTACAACAGAAAATATAACACAAAACACCCTAATAAATAACAAAATTAAAAATGAGAAAAATTAAAAATTAAATTGAAATAAAATAAAAATAAAATGTGATGTTTCATGCAAGGAATTCTGGGAATGAAATTTCTTAGTATTTTACAGTAAAATATCATATAATGCAATGCTAAACAACTTACAATTTTACACCCTACAGTATGATAACGTACAGTTAACCAGGTAAGGACGTTTTTACTGTTGCATTTTTTCCAGTTTCGTTTTTGTGCACCTAAATGGTGCTGATCCATGTTTGTAACGATAGAACAGATACATTTTGTCTATAGAAGTAAAAGAAAATGTATAGACAGTCCTTATCAGGAACTTGTTATTAAAGAAATTAGCAATAATTAATACATAAGTTATAATATACAGAAAAAGACATAAAACTAGCACAGCTATTTATGAAATCAATGACAAATACAGTTTAGCTATCATTATACAAAAATAGGCCTATTTTACTGCAGAATTCCACGACTGACCCATTAGAATTGAGTTTTTGTTCTAATAACTGTTTATACATCTGTTTCATCCTGTACTTTGTTAACTGAGTGTAGATAGTGAGAGTGAGATATCGTGCTCAGCCAGATCATCTTCTTTTACATGTAATGATCCATCGTTTCTTTCCATTCTTTGAGTCATCTGTTGTCTGAAAGGCTCTACTGGCTCTTTTCTGGAAGTTCAGTTGAGGATGAACTCTCGCTGTGTACCATAAGTGCCCGCTATGCCAAGAATTCAGTCCTCAACAACAGAGAGCGGCACGCATCCTGCCCTGGGCTTTCAGCCAATAAGAACACAGAGCAAACCTGTGAGCCGACCCAAAGCAGAGCAGCCGAGCGAATCAGAGCGCTGGCATTGACTATCACAGTGGTATACAACACCCCGTAAAATGATTCTCAAAGAAAAGAGTGAACCGACCAATAATGACCATTGCTTCATACAATAATGCATTCATCACTTTCTATCATGCAGCAGACATAGCTAATAGAGCACAGACCAACCATTGAGCCGACATAGACCATCCTGCCAATGATCCATTACTCAGAACACAAAGGAACATTTATTACCAAAAGAATGCAGGCCAAAACAGAGAATTAACCAAACACAAGTAGCATGCTTTATGTTCCTCCTCATTAAACTGTCAGTAGAGAAAATCTAATGCTAAATTCATGTGCTCCCCGTCCACCCTCAAAACCACCCACCCGAGCTGACATTTACACAGAGAGAGTCAACAGATCGGTCCGAGCGAAGGGCTCTCAGCTCCTGCTGTAACACACATAGAGCTTTGACTACAGCGAAGTTAAACGAAAGTGTCAACATTAAGAGTTCTGCCCCAAGCCAAATCAAGTACAATATAAACACTTTTCTTTTCAGAAACCTTCATTGGAGCTCCTAATGAAGCCTTTTCGGAGAATCTGAAACTAATTAATTAACCTATTTTCCCCAATTAGCAACTTCTTACAGAACTCACACTAATTTCCATCATTGCAGCTAAAATAACCAAAAACGGATAGTTCCAGCTCCAAATGGCCAACTTGTGGCCACCACTTGTGGACTTGTCATTTAAATTCTTTATTAATCAATACAGATAGATTAATAACAGATAGATAGATAAAAACAGTATTCTTCCACCAAACAATGTAGTTCCTCAGAAACGTTTGTGGTTCCAACAAAGTGGTTGCCGAGCAACACACAAATGTAAACAAAGGTGTATGTTTGTAGAGTAATTAACAACAGCTTCGAACTTGGCTCAACCAATCAGAATCAAGGACCGGAACTATCCGTTTTATAACAATGCTTTAACAACCACACAGATTCACTTTATCAACCACATAGCAATTCTCTGGCAGCACCCAGACCACCCTAGCAGAATCTTTTCTTTGGTTTCATAATGCACACCACACTTCTTTCCTGTGGTAAAATTCACAGCAGCTCATTGTGTTTCCCACAAATTTGAGATGCGTCATACTTCAAATATCTACAGCTCATTTAAAGCCCACTTGCTAGCTACTCAGCATCTTGAAAGCTTCTGGAATGATCCGTTATCTCTCACCTCTCTGGCCTTCTCCATCTCCGCTTGCAGGACCTGCTTGGCCACCTCCAGGTCCTGTAGTTTCACCCTCAGCTCCTCGTTCTCCTGCTCCAGACGAGATCTCTTCTTCTCCACAGCGTCCAGCTCATTGTGCAGACGGATGGACACGTCTTTTGCCACCTAAAACAACCACAACAGTTTTTATGAGGGGAGCATTAAAAATATCCTTTGAAAAAAAAGGTACTCTGTGAGCTGCCTACAAAGACGAGCTTAGTGAAAAATAATAGGCAAGAGAACGTATATGTATTATATTAAAATATTACAGAAATGGTAATAAACATATTTCATTCAATGCTGATAAATACAGAGAACTGTTCAGTGTACTGCTAAATACTGATTAAAAATACTGCATGTTGTAGTAATTATAAGTTTATAAGTTTTAGCTTTGCCAGTGAAAAGCATTGAAGATGGTTAGTTCATAAGTCTATGATTCATGTCTCCCTGAAGGTAGAGGAAAGCTCATTAAAAGTGGTTGATCGTAAAGCTGCACTAACTTCTTAAAGAGGCAATTATCGGTGTTGGGCAAACAAAGACAGAGAATCCAAACTCATCTCTACCACACACACACGCATGCTGGTGCTTGGACCATTTTAGCAACACAAGATCGTTTGTCATTACTGACAATGTTTGTATGTTTCTATAGGGCACATATTAAGGACGGATGTTTGTGTGAGAGGAATGAGGAAAGAGAGGGCAGCAGTCACTGAATGGGGTAAATGGGGATTGTGAAGGGCTAGGAGGAGAAACACAGTCCCTGTTTGTGAGGGAGGGTTTTCTCCTCTCTGTGTGTCTGAACCACAGCCAAGGTGCAGCTGGGTACCCACAATGCTCCTCTGTACCAACACCACGCTCTAATTCATATCAGATCCCTCCATTTCTCATTCTTTCCTTTTCTTTATTTCACCAAAAGCCTCTCTGCCTTGTTTCATCAGTCTTTTTTCCTATTCTCATTGCCAGGATCTATAAACATCTTTGTTTATCCATCAGTGTTGTGGAAGAAACTAACTAAAAGCAGCAAAACTACTACCTTAACTACCTTTTCAGTAGCGTTACAGTAGTTCAGTTGTTTTCATTTCAGCTTTTCCAGTACAAGCTACTTTCCCCAAAATGTTGTGCTGTGGGATGATAAAATTGTGTTTGCTGTTGCTTTATATTGGACATGCGCATTAAAAACATTATTTTACAACAACAAAAAAATGATCAGTGAATATGTTACACTACATTATCCTACAGTATATGGTGAAAAAAGGTGAAAATTATAATTAGAATATATAGGTTATGTACTAGTACAATGTACTATATATAATATTATTAAAACTACCATTTTATAAGTAAGAAATATTCACTATTTATTGACGTATTGACTATTTACTGACAAACAATAATAGAGCAGACGTCTATGTGTGACCCATATCATTTATTTTCTCCCTTTTTTTTTATTAGTTATGCAATTTTGTATTTTAGTTTCAATGTTTATTGCATTATACGTGTTATGTAAGTTATTCCAATGGTGTTTTGCCACAGTTCCTGAAAAAAACACTTTACTGAACTGTAAACATTTTTATACATCAATACCATTTTGGATTGTATATTAAAATTATATAAAAGACATATAGAGTTATTAACTGTAAAATACACTCCATTAACTGTAAAAACACCATCATTAAAGCAACCACAGCTTTTATTTTTTTTTATGTAACTATAACAGGAGTTTTTATACAGTATCAGTTTTTCTATGGACAAACAGAAAAGCAGGAAATAAATCAATGTCACCATTCATGATACAATATAAAATATGTTTCTAAACCACAGGCCCAGGGTTTTATGGTAATTGCACGTCTGTATTGTCACACAAAAGCTTTAATTATCAGAGCTCCGAAAGTGTCTGTTGGTCCAGATTATTTGCATTTACTCCTCCCTCCATTCTGTCTGGACGCCACCCACCTGCCTTTGTCTGACAATGTCACGGCCTGTTGTTGCTTTTACATGCAAAAGGAGATAGACACCTCTAGATCCACAGGGAAAGGGGCAGTGAAGCACTGCAGTGTCGTGTGTGTGTGTGTGTGTGTGTGTGTGTGTGTGTGTGTGTAGATGCTTAGTTGGCCGCCTCTCTCACCACAGCCTGATGTGGAACAAGCTGCCATATCTGACCAAACCCAGAAATCAAAGGAGTGTAATGACCCATCAAAGACTAATAATGTCTCATTTGTATGTGACCATGACTGTTTGTCAGCAGAACCTGGTCAGATATGTAAATGGCTCTGTGGAATTTGTTTGTCTTTGGGTTTGATTGTGTGTGTGTGTGTGTGTGTGTCGCTCCTCTCTGATCCTGCTTTTCAGGATTGCTCCACCTCTCTGCTGTGCAAACAGTCGTTTTAAATGACTTCCCTCCAGATCTGTATCTGGTTGCATCTGCAGAACAGCTGCCCGGGCACATTCACACTATAAACTCAACCTTGCCCTGCTTAGAAAAAGCAAACTGCCCTTTGGTTAACCTATTAGCACACATACGGCTCAGATGAGCCATATGAAGACAGTCCAAGGGCACCAAATACTGTTGTGTTGAAAGAAACCCATTAACACAGCTTCACTACATTTTTAAATGGACTGACACTTTAAATGCAGCTTCCAGCCATATGTCACTCTTGAGTTCATTTTACAAATCCTGCCTTTGAAACTCACAAGTGAGTAACAGAGTCAACATAAAACAGCATTTGCAAACCATTTTACTTATAATGTGATGCATTTCTGAGTAAAAAAGGATATTCAATGAGATAAAAGTAGGGCAAGTAAATGGAGACTTTAGCCTAAGTCTCCTGCTTCTCAATTTTTTATTCTAGAAAAGAGACCCTAGTTATCTCAAATGTGCCTCCTCTAGAGTTTCATCTCAGCATAGGATCTGGTTTTTAAAGCGGGGCTTTGTCTTGCTCCGTGGCTGTTTGACATGTGAATGCAGCACATGGCTGATTATGCATGTGCGCTCCTCACATAGATGACAATGAAGCGGTTCGACCGCGAGTGGACCAAGCCAGCTACACGATGAGGAGGTGTTCATTACTATGTGTCTCTTTCTCTCTCCTCTTATCTCCAGGATGCTGCTGCTAAGCTGATATCTGAACAGGCGAAGGCCAAACTGACCAAACAGTATTTTCCTTGCTTATCATCATCTGTCACCATCACTTCCTCTTTATTATTCTCCTTCTTCCCAGAATTATTTTTTCTGCTCAGAGGCAGAGGTTCTGCTTTCATAGCTCAAGACTAACTGCAGGTCTCATTAAGCCCACAAAATACTTAGATTTTCGTGTATGTGCTAGGGTATACATGCAGTGCATGTGCGTAATAATTTAATCAGCAGCACGGTATGCACATACTGTGCAAAGCCTGGTTTTTATAAGCGTGTGTTCTCTGTACGGTCATCTCGCAGATGAACTTGACGCTAATCGAGTGCTGCATTGATGACATATTTTTGTAGGTCAGCCCATAAATTAGCATCACCCTGGTTCCCTTGACAAAAACTCAATTGCATAACCATTGGATTATTGGAGAAAATAAGCTCAAACAAAAGTTTACGGTTTTTACACATTTTGTTCATCATGATAATCTTTACAAATGAACTTTTATGAATATTGAAGCCTAAATACAATCACCAGAAATAAAAAGCTAAACATAGGCTAAAAACAAACTACAGCAAGGTCACATGACTTTAATGTCACCTTCACTAAGCTTTTGAATTTCTGTAGTCCTATATAGCCATGTGTTAGCCACCCCCTTTTTCAAGACAAGTAAGCCTTTTAAAAATGTTAAAAGAGTATAGAGCTATAAATTAAACTAGCAGAGCTCAAAAAATGATCTTGGATAAATCTGATAAGAATTTTATATTAAGTTTATATATAATATGAGTTATATAAATTTATAATGAAATCTCTCACTTTTGTCTCAGCAAATCTGAACATAGATTGAGAAATTGTTGAGATCTGTAAAGTCTAAAGGAGATAACTAGGGTCTTTTTTCTTTCAGAAGAACATTTTGAGAAGCAGAAGATTTAAACATCTGCATCCTCCATTAGGACTGGGCGTGCAACAACAGAAATGTTGCATGATATCGTAATTTAAATATCTGCTATCAGAAAAGAATAACGACTCTGCAAGCTGTATAGTACATCAGGCACTAGATTTTAATGGGAGTGATTCAGTTTTGACGCACCAGATGATCAGAATTTCCTTATATTAATTTCATTTCTGATATTTGTTGTCTACAACTGTAATCATTCTCTCCGTTTCTCAGTTGTTGTTTTGCATGAGCACATGGCTGGAGAAGCTCAGATGGATAACAGAGGGAGAGAGGAAGCTCCAGTGTTCCTCCAAACCCAATTTCACAAGCCACAGCAGCTGATGAGAAGGTGTGGAGCTGTTTTCCGTCCTTCCCCTGACAGATCTGGGAGACGTTGCTCTCATTGGATGAGAAATGAGGCCAGTGCTTTAGAGAGCAGGAAATGGTGCAGGGATCTTACAAACATTCAGATCCTCCATCAACCCTTTTCACCCCCACCCCCTCCTGACCATGACATCATCCCCTCCCCCTTCATCCCGAGAGACCAGAGAGAGATGGGAAGAAGTCGAACATGGGAAACTCCTATATGTTAGTCCAAGGGGAAAAAAATATTTGTCTTACACAGCCTCTTGGTCAGAATATCACTGACCTCTGAATGGAGTTCATTCATAAGGAAAGTACCCAACAATAACTGATCCGTGGGTCATCTCAGCCCCAAAAAGTTCTCAGAAATCAAGGGTTTTACTTAATGTAATACATTATGGCCAGATTGATTCATCAGCAAATATTCTGTCATTTTAAGATAACAAATTTTCAGAATTCAAAAGAAATGTTTAATTTATCTTCATTGGCTTTGTTGAAAACTTGATTGCGACTGGTTATTTGCATCCTTCTGGGGTAATCAATTTCCTAAATATCTGTGCTTCCCCAGATCTTTCTTTTCACATAATATAATATTTTCAACTCATATTAGCATTTCATTTCCAATTATTTACATTTTTGGTAAGTAAGTCAGATAATAAGCAGGATAATGTACAGTCAGCCGGTCATTATAGCGCAATAAACCAAAAGGGTGATCTGCTTAACATCACGGTCCCTTTCAGTTAGTTTTATAAAGTTTCTTCTACAAAATAACTGTTCATAACAATCAGCCTAGCAACAAGACAAACATTGAATCAATCGTCTGAGGTCATTTTCACTAGTTGATAACATTTGGCAGCAGTTGTGTTTGTATGAAACAAGGGAGTGTGTCTGTGGTGTGAAACGAAAGACATAATAGTTAGATGAGTGGTCTGCTCAACAGCATTGCCAAGGACGAATATTGAAAAGATACTGACCACTAATCTTAACTGAACACTGCAGCAAAGGTTACACAACTGAATAGAGGAGCATCTTGCTAAATCTATGCACTATATTACATTTCTTCTTTTATTTTTACTGTCTTCGTTATAGCGCTGGGTATCGAGTTTAATACTTTTTAGTCACCGATCTAATTGCTTCAATACCACTGAGTATCGAAAAATATCTTGTCGTTCAGTACCAAATTTCGATACCTAAGAGGTTAATTTCATCAACGTCAGTGAGCCAATAAGCATGCTGCATGCTTTATGTGCATAAATCAAGTGCTGGCGATTGCGATCTAATGTGTGTTTTGGTCATATAATGTTGCTGAAATATGCTATTTGTAGCCTTTTATATCAAGCTAATTGCTACACCTGCTTAGCATTTCTCATGCAAACATTTCTCATGTATTAAAACTATTTGCACTGATTTATTGTGTTGTTGGTTACATTTTGTTCCTTTGTGCAGTGGCTCAGGAGATGAGTCTTTAAAGGGTTAGTTCACCCAAAAAGGAAAATTAGCCCATAAATTACCCTAATTTTCATTATTGACTGAACTAACCCTTTAAGTCTGTCAACAAGCTGAAACAATAAAACCAACGTTTTTTGAGGTGACGTGTAATGTAATCTTGTTAAAACAGATTTCATAAAATTGGTATTGAAAAAGTATCGTTCAGGAATCGGTATCGAAGTCAAAGTATCTGTATCGATGTTAAAAGAATTTTAACAATACCCAGCCCTACTTCATTATTTAATGTATATTTGAATAAATATGTCAAGAAAGTTTTATTACAAGCACTGTTTAAATTTTATATTGAAACATCTAATTGGAATCAAAACATATTTATATTAAAAGTTGACATAAAAACGGCCTTATGTGCAATTTAACTGCTTTTATACAACTTAGTTGATTATTAAATAAAGTTGATTAATTGATTATTAAATAGAGTTTATTGTCAGTTTCGGTTTTTGGCTACTTTAAAACTTTATTGACGGTTTCTGTGTTTTAATAAAAAATTCCATTTGTTGCATCACTTTAAAGTACTGATTGTTGCACGAGTTGTTCTCATAACCCTGTAAGGCTACAAGAAAATCTGAGTTAGCACTTCGATTTGCACAATGTTTTGTTGCTGTGCTAAGCTGAATGTAAAGAAACAATGTCCTTCCTCCTTAAAGCCTATAGCATGCCTGTCACAGCGATAGCAATGGAGTATTTCAACCAGCTGAATGCACAAGCGCTCTGAAGATAAGTGTAATCTGACCTGGCTGTGGAGAGACAATTGACCCTGTGTTAGGAGACTCCTGTCAGCAGTTAAAGAATTCAGCAAAGGCTGAGATGTTTTTTCTGCAGACACCATCCCCCTCCACATTGATTGTGTTCTGCAGCCTCTGATCCTTACCAGCTGTGTCCTGAGTGGTAAAACTTAAGTATGTGACAGTGTAACTTGTTATAGACCAACACAGCCAGTCTCAGTAGCACAGAGAGCCGCAGCATTTGCTTGGCAGAGGAAATCACTCTCCCTCTGTTACTGTATACAAATCAGCCATGTAAAAAAGAGGAATACAGTGCTGACGGGAATGACATCATGGTTATTTCTCCTCTCACTGACAGACCAGAGAAAGGAAGTATTGTGTCCTCAGCCATGTGAGACAGTTGCCTGTGTGGTGCATTACATGCTGCCTAAAGCATGATCTTACAGTCCACTGCAGACGTTTACGTCACTGGATATTTTATGAGATACACTTCATTCAGAGAGTTGAAAAATAAGTACACTTTAGCAAACATACAAAAAAAGTACTTCATATATTTTAAATGCGGATTGAATATACTGTTTTCAGACACTTCATTGCATGTTATTTAAAACTAAATTCAAATGTAATATAATTTACATTTATATAAAATGCAATTAGTTGAATTTAAGAGTGTTTTCGACCCACTTAAGTAGGACTTAAGTGACATCTCTATATAGTACATCTCTGTAATTTCATAATTGTATGGTTAATGTGTGTTGCTGCATATACTGACAAGCATTTATAGTAAACTACAATATACTTTTATGTCATTTTATGTATTTAAATATATTTGTAATTACACATTTGTAATGATGAAGTTGCAATTTAGTACATTTAAAACATCAACTGTAATATCTAATAACACCACTTTTAAAATTACAATTAGCCTTTTTCCATGTGATTTACTATGCTAGTCAAAACATCAAAATAAGTGTACTTCTTTAAAGCATGACAAAATATTAAGTGCACTTTTAAGTGTACGTAAGTGTGTTTAAGACACAGTCAGCCATGAAAGTGTACTTGTTCGATCTGGCCTACGTTGTATTATGGTCTTGATTATTACTCTGTCTTCAGAATGTCTTTAAATTCATGTTTTATTTTTCTGTTTTATGTGTTTATGGTTTGATTTTTCTGTACAGCACTTTGGTCAGACTTGTGGCTTTTTTAAATGTGCTTTATAAATAAATGAACTTGAACTTGAAATACTTTCCTTAAGAACACTTACAGTAAATGGCCTTTTATTTCATTCAAATTGTATTATCTGCAAATGCGGTTTCTTAAATCACACTTTTAAGATTCAAAGTACACATTCAACACAATTAGGCTAAGCGCACTTCATTTTCACAAGGTGTTTGAGTCCAACTCAACTTAAAGATCAAGCAATTACTTGCTAAACACAGTTAGCTAACAGAATACATTTGGTGGCTTTTATCTGTAATAAATCACACCTTCACACCAACTGGATTTCTACATCACACATTAACTTGCTCTAACCTTGACGTCTTGCTCCAGTGTTTGGATAAGCTCCCCGTCCACTTGTCCGGTCTGGGCCACGCGGATGCTGCGTCTCTCTGCCTTCTTGAGGCGGTACTGCAGGATGCGGCAGGTTTTGTTGGCCTGATCCAGCTGCTGTCTGAGCTCCTGGAGCTGATAGACATCCTCCTCCATGTACATGTCCCTCATCTCCAGCATCTCAGAGCGAAGCTCCTCCGTCTCGTCCTGATATACACACACACAGTGCATCATTTTAGAAATGACTATGCGTTTTGCAAGCTTTTTCAAAAACATATTGGACATTTTAGTCAGACATAGACAATGATCTGCAGGGCTGCCACTGGTGTCACCCAGGATCAAGGGTTGCTAAAAAGCCACTTGAGATCATGGTAGCTACTAATATCTGTATCATTGTGTATTATGCTGCATTATGATTTTCCTCGAGACTCTTTTACTACACAGTTTACATAATAGCGCCATGTTTAGAAAGCAGTTTTGCTCTAACCCCAAATAAACTATTTATGCCTCAAACAGATAAAAATGCATTCAGCTTTCAGAGGCTGATAGATGCGGTGGGCCACCGCGTGCTGCCACACATTTCCAGTGAATATAGGTCAACTACTGCAGCGCGCGTCACGTGCTCAACGCGAGGATAAACAATGGAGTGAAAAGTGGGCGCGGGCGCAGTGGACTGACTGACTGCTGCAGCATCTGTATACAGCTGCATTATTCAAGCAACACGCGCGCAGGAGCAACTAGCCACTAACCTTTTTAACGCTTTTATATTAGGCGTGGCAAATTAAATAGATTTGGTTCCGTCATGGTCTTGTGATGGTTTATGAAAGCCGAGATTACAAAAGAATCACTGTTTATCTCTTACATATGACTAATAGTAATTCTGGAGAAATGACCTGCCCATATGATAGTAAACAAGGATCTTAAACATATGCCTTGCGAGAAGAATGAATACAGTGTTTCCAGTTTCAGGGGGAAGGAACATAGACATTTAGATGATGATATATGGCAAAAATACAGTATTATACTGGTTACCCTGTGACTAGTTTCCACCAGAAAACTATAGTTATACAGTTATTTTGACTAATTGCACTGTAAAACATGTTTTCAGCATCATAAAAACGTCTTGGTTCCATCTCATAACAATTTCAGTCATTTCTACTGTTTTATGAATTTCTTAACTTCATTTTCTTGATTCAGTCAATTGTTTCTAAGTGGGCTATAGTGTACCAGTTTGATTTTTAGAAATGCAATAATCTAGCATTTTCTTTTTTAATGGGTTACATTTTGATAGTGTAGTAATAATCATTAAATAATTAAAAGATGCTGAAATCTTCTTGGTTTACTGTAACTCTACTGTATACTTTGGAAAAAAATGTTAAAGGTCTTTAAAGGTTCAGTAAAGAACCTCCCTGAGCATCAAGCACAGTTTTGGTTATGTTTGGTTCTTATGCTTATTATTTTGGAGGTTTTGATGTTGTATTAGCCTATATGTAACCCAGGACCACAAAACTAGTCTTAAGTAACACGGGTATATTTGTAGCAATAGCCAACAATACATTGTATGTGTCAAAAGTATCGATTTTTATTTTATGCCAAAAATCATTAGGATATTAAGTAAAGATCATGTTCCATGAAGATATTTTGTAAATTTCCTACCGTAAATATATCAAAATTTAATTTTTGATTAGTAATACGCATTGCTAAGGACTTCATTTGGACAACTTTAAACGTGATTTTCTGAATATTTTTTTTTTTGCACCCTCAGATTCCAGATTTTCAAATAGTTGTATCTCAGTCAAATATTGTCCTATCCTAACAAACCATACATCAATGGAAAGCTTATTCAGCTTTCAGATAATTTATAAATCTCAATTTTAAAAAATGGACCCTTATGACTGGTTTTGTGGTCCAGGGTCACATACATTTTTTTTGGTTCTTGGCTGTTTAAAGCACCAACACATAGATGACTTCAAAAGAACTAGACAATAACATCATGTTGAACCTTAAACTGAATGTGGCAAGATATTTTGGTGGAAACTGTGGTTGCCATGGTGCTAATTTTATAAAACAATAAAAAAATAGAATCATTATGTTACCTTTAAATAATCATTCTCCGACCTGAGTTCCTCAATTTCCCTGACTAATTCCTCATGCAACCCGTCCATTAATTCCTCAGTCAGGTCCGAAAACGCCAAGGACGTGCTGGCGGGCATCCTGCTGTCGAACGAGGTGAGCGAGCGCTCGTCGCCGGGAGAGACGCTCCCCTCTGCGGTCTCCATTCCCAGCGAGAGCCGGTCTTTCTCCAGGCTGGTCTTGGTTTGACCACTCTTGTCCAACAGTCCATGTTCCGCTGGCGCTTTCTCGCCGTCGATCCCCCCGCGGCTGCTGGTCTCGGTGTCGCTGCTGAGCGCATCTGTGGAGACTTTATTCTCCTCGGAGGCGCAGTCGGAGAGCTCCGAGCTGCTGTCGGTGACTGAGAGTTTCCCCGGAGCGCAGCCGGAGTCCTTGCTCAAATCATCCGATCCGATGCTGGCGTCCGAAACTTTTCTCCGGCCGCTTTTATTAGACTTCACGATGCTCTTCTGAGCACCGACCGCGGACAGCGCGGGTTTGCCGGTCGGTTTACTCTTCTCTGTTTTTGTCTCCTTCCCGGTTACCGGGCTCCGTCTGGACACGCGGCCGCCTAAATATATGGCCCCCGGTTTAACGCTCAGCGTCGGCGTGCCGATACCGCCGCGGATTTTAGTGAGGGACCACCCGGGCACATCTTTGGGTCTTGCTGGAGACGGTGCCCGGTGTATTTTCTTTTTCTCGGTAACTTGTAGCGGCTGGGCAGGCTGCTGTTGTGACGGCTGCGGCTGCTCTTGTTCTCCAGTGCTGCTCTCCATTTTCTGCTTTTGTCTCTTCTCCTTCGACGAGACAAAATGCGTCGGGGAACCGGTGTCAACCTTTGTCTTGGTCATTCATTCCGTTTACGAGACCCGAGTATAGCTGAAATGTACCTCCTCTCCTCAAACACAGAGGCTGAACTGGTAAACACTTCACACCAGATGAGCCGACATCAAAACCTTTGTAAATCCAAAAGAGAATGTAATTGCTTGGCATGAGACGCTTCTGTTTTCTTCTGTTTACCACGTCTGCAAGATATCCCCCTGTGCGTCCTCAGTTTGAACTGCGGCGGCTGCTCTGCTGAGCGTCGGCTGGAGGGTCAGTTCAGTTGGGTTTCTCTCTCTCCGCCCAGAGAGCGGCTCTGACCGTGACGAATGGATCTGGAGAGCCTCGCGCGCAGAGCAATGCTGCCACCAAGACACGGCACGTGAAAAAAGTAGACACATGAAAAAATCCCTAAATAAGGGTTTGGAATCGACAACCGGTTCTTATTCAGAACCTGTTCCATTCGAAAAATACCGAAATCGAATGATTTTCACAATGTTTCCGTTAAAGATTAGGATAAAGACAGGCCTATTGGATACGTTGCTAGGTGTTGTCAGTTAAGTTAACACTGATTTATGAATACCACTTTTTTGAAATATAAAATTCTCTTGAAAAAAATCTTCCACAACTTACTCTATACATTATTTGTATGATCAGTTATGTAATAATGTTGTGTTATTATGTATCCCAGTGTGGTTTTATTATATTTATATGTTTACACAGCTATTACAAAAATAAGTAATATTTTTATAGTGCTACAATATTATATAATAATTGTATAATAATTTTTGTTTGGATGACAGAATTCATTATATAGCCTAGTGCTATTTAAAGACAACTGCTAAGTGTTTGAAAACAAGCATTTGTGTCACCGGATTTTTGGCTGAAACTTTTATAGTTACTTAATGATACATACATTTTTCTGTGCTGAATACTGCCTCCTGCAGTGGAATGGGAGGCTGAATGATGAGGCAGGAATGTGAGCACAGGTCACATGCGCCATAATTAGTCTGTAACGATGGCTTTATTCAGAGACTGTCCTCCTGGCCGAACACTAGAGCCCCTTCTGGGACCTTGACAAAGGTGGTGCTCCCCGAACTTCGCATAAGCACATAGTTAACACATAGTGCTGGAGACAGGGCAGAGAAACCGGTTGCTGTCTGTACTAACTGAGCCGTTCTCAATGCTACATGAAAGAAGAGGATCCCAATCCTCCAGAGTCTTTGAGATGGAGGCAGATCAATGAGAGTCTTTACTCAATCTTTTATTGATTTAAAAAGAGGAACAAGCCTTTTATTCATCCACAGATGATGCATTCCTGTATGTGCAGTGTATGCTTCTTATTACAACAAAAGCAAAACTGGCATTATATGTCAGAAATGAAAATAGCACAAGTGTGCTGATGGCATTCTTTGCTGCAAAACTGCTGTGAAACATATTTATAGTACTGATAAATAAGACCTTTTGAATGGATAATGGAAAATTTACTGCATTTGTTTCCTGTAAGACAGCAATTATCTGTGCAGTGTTGAAGCGTTTAGGGATTTTGTTACTGTTATGACTGTAATGGCTGTCAGCAGCCTTGCCACACTAGAGTGAGGAATGCAAAACCCACAGGGAGACACAGAAAATATCCCCTGTGCTGCTGGATATTACATATTCTATTTCATGGTGGGCTTAATTAATGTAAAACAGTATTTTAGTCCCATGTCCTATATACTTGGCCTAAATAACTGTGGTAATGATACTAACAGGATTTCTGCTGTTGTTGCCCTGTCTCTGAGGACTGGGACCCCGCAGTCCTCTGGTCTCCATGTAATGGTTGTGGTAGAGGCAATGACAAAAGTGGGTTCATAAATCTTTTTTGGTCTTGTCTGATGAGAAATACATCTTGTGGACTCTACATGCACATAGCTTGACTTAAGAATTACTTTAAGAATTTTGTTTTTGTTTATATAAAATGATGATTAAAATTATTTTGTATTAGCAGAAAACACTGGGAAATTGAATAAAAAGCCCATCTCATCACTACAGTGTTGATTTTTTTTTTCTCTCTCCAATTTTTCTCTATCTACTTACCACCAAGGAAAAGGTCACCAACAGACTGCTTTGATGATTTAAATAATAAAATACTACTAATAAAAACAATAAAATAGAAAATAAAATAAGATAAATAAATACGATAAATTAAATAAAACTCTTATTTTTAAAATGGATATTTCTCATAAAAATATTTTGTAATTTTGTATTTATTAATTTTATTAAATAAAGCAATCTGTAAAATAGACAAAAACCCATGGGTTTTGTGATAATTGTTATGTATGTTAGATAAACTATAATCTAATGTAAAATGAATTTTGTATGAATATTATTTGCACAATAATAAAGACAAATATTTGTACATTTTTATAATATTTGTTTTAAAGAATGGTGGTTGCAACATTGTTACGCATATTTTATGTTAACAATGGACACAAATCAGGGTATTAAACTTTATTTAAATATGTGTGGCATATTTTGGTAATGGGGTTTCAGAAATTCAAACCTTGCATAAAATGAACAGAAAACAGAACATCTTGTATAACTTTTTTTCCATGATTTCCATGCATGGCCATTTGTTAAATAAAACATTTAAAAAAAATGTTGCAACTTTTGTAAAGAGTTTCAGGCCCTATTTAATACCGTCTTTTTCTCTCAGAATCTTTAACTTTGTACAGATGTCTGCAAGACCAGTTTCTGTGTTGTTCATGGGATACAATATAAATTGGTTCTAATAAAAACTAATTTCTTATTTGTATGTCAAAGAATAGACATTAATGCTAATTTTAACAAACCTTTGGTGTGTTTTTTCAGCTAATGTATCTTAACGAGGGTTGATATTACAACATCAGTCAGAGACATGAGCTCAAAGCAAATCATTCAACAGATATTTTGTGTGTTCATTTAAGCACTAGTGCCACCTAATGGCCACATTAAGCAAACACAACACAGTTATCACTTCCGAGGTTAAATCAAGAGGATAAAAAGATCAAACCTTTACAGAGAAATGACCCTTGCCTGATATCATAAAGTGTATTGTATATATTATTGTTTCACATTTGCTTCCAGGTTTCCTATTACTCTTGTCTGACCGTGATATAAAGATTCGCTTTACACATACTGAGTCAAAGTCCTGCATCAGCGATGAGAGGGCAATTCTTCCTGTGCAAGGAGAAACAATGCCATGTTGTACAGGGTCAGTGGGTGTAATTGGCGTGTGTAATGCTGGATGAAAGAGTCCTTTTTACTGGAGTTGTGCTCAAGTCCCACTCTTTAGTCCTGTGAGATCTGTTGGAACAACAGTGCAGGACTAATTGTACCCTGATGGTGCACAAAACGGCAGGATGGTTTTTGATGAAAAGTTTATAATTTGCCTCTACCACAGTGTTTTATTGCCGACGGCTGACTGGCTGCTCTGTTCTGGATGTATGAATATGTGGCTCTAGGCTCTAGACAGCACAATTTTATCTCTGGATACTGTATATTTTAGCCATCAAGGCCAGTATGTCAAAGGGACATCTGTTTTCAACCTTTCAGGGCTGTTTGTCTTTGTCAGCCTCAGAGGTGGTTTCCAACACACACATTTCAATAAGTAAGCGGTGAGGTCAGTGCTGTACTTAGCTGCTCTGGGAACTGTGGGGTATATCAGTGACGTCTGCCTTCATTATTAATGAGAGACATAAAACAAACAGACCAAATTTGTATCAATAATTCACAAGCTTTTCATTATGCTCAATCGTTTTCGTGCTTTCATAGAGATTGCAGTATTTGTGGATCATAATACACATGCAGATGCAGCCAGGTCACTGTTAACCTGCTTCTCTTTACTATTTTACATTTTCATCAATGACCTCTAGAAAGGACTTCTCAACATTATATGAATTCACTCATTTCTTGGAATGAACATTTGGCGAAATTGAAACTGGAGTAGCCTGAAAGGTGGTTCAAAGAACAGACTGTAATATATGATAAGCAATGTTGTGCTGTTCGGTTCAATAACTTGATGATATATGTGTGTGTGTGTGTGTATATATACAGTATATGTATAAAATATTTTTTACTGTGCATTTCTGAAATATGGACATCAACTTGACATAGTCACCAATGATAAGCTACTATTAAATATATTGTAGAAACTTTAATTTTCTGTAAAGCTGCTTTGCAACGATCTGTATCGTGAAAAGCGCTATACAAATAAACTATATATATATATATATATATATATGTGTGTGTGTGTTTCAAATTTATATTAGAAATTCATTACATTAAAATATGGCATTAAAATGATATTATATTTAAATAGAATAATATATGCATACACTCTTTGCTCCAAATATATATTAGAAATAATATATACATTAAAAATACATTAAAATATTATATTAAAATGTTATATTGTAATATATGCACGCACTCCATGTTCCAATAACAATATTTATGTGAGCAAAAAAAAAAAAAAAAAAACATAATATAAAATAATGTCATGCTGTATATCGTAAATAATAAAATAAATTTTTCTTTTGTCATTATAATATTAAATTAATGTAGGATTTATTTCATACATTTTTTCTTGAAGCAGTCTTCTTTAGACTCCTTCTGCTTTTTTAATTTAATTTTTAATTTCATTTCATTTCATTTTTAATTTCATTTGGTAGCAGTACCAGGTAATACCTGCTTGAAGTTAAAACAATAACTGTAAATATGAAATTTTTTGTTACATTTTGTGGAAAACTATAGTGACTTTTTGGTCCATTTTTGCAAAGATTTTTTAAATTAATTCAAATAAATCAAATCATTAAATGGTGTATACGTTTATTCGCTATTATATATGAAACATGTTTATTTACTGTGTCCCATATTAAGTCATTTAAAAATAAATGTTATTGAGATTAACCCTTGTGCGCTCCTCATTTGGGAGTCACACTCATAGTCTTCGAGGTCAAAAGTGACCGAACACCTTTTTTTTTTTCTTCAGTAAAATCAGTCTAATATATCTTTGTTCAATAATATTTTTTTTTCTTTTGTATTTTGAGAGAATTTTATGGTACTAATTAACATTTATGCAATAATTATGATCAATTTTTCCCATTGAAAATAGTACAAACATTTTTTTTCGACTTTTTTAAAATAATTTGTCAATTAATGCAGTATTTCAGATTAAAATAGAGACTAGGACATTAAAAAACAATTTTTTAAGGCACCTACCACCTATTGGTGAGAGCAAAAAAAAAGTAACAAAAAATGAACAGGAATGCTTTATCAGAGCTTAATCCTTCTGGCTCTGATCTGATTTTAACATCTGATTTCAATCTTCTGACTCATTTTGGCTATATGGTTATAGCCATACCAATTCATTTGGGTATGTATAATTCTGTGTGTGTGTGTGTGTGTGTGTGTGTGAGTCGATGTATCTGTTTTACACTCTTGATGTTTTAGAGTGTAACCCCTTCCTTGCTGTCCACTTTTTTTTACTGCATTGTAGTTGAATTATTGATTTTATTTGACATAGTTGGAGTGTTACAGTCACACCAGTTCATAGGTGTGTGTGTGTCATAGTTGGTGTGTTGATTTTGCACTCTAGATGTTTTAGAGTTTGAACCCTTCGTTGCTGTGCAATTTTTTTTCTGCATTGTGGGGGATTTGTAGATTGTACACACAAAAATGTTCTGTATTTTCGTTTTTTTTCCCCCATTTCCCATTCATTTCCAATGGCTGACTATTTTTTACGACCACTTAGCTTTTTACAATCATGCCCTCAATATTTTTTGTGTGTTCACATACCAAGTGCCATAAAAGTTTTGTACCATTCTGGTGATGCTACGATTTTTAAAAATTAAAATGTAAAATTCTCCGGTCAGAAGTGACCGAAGACCGCACAAGGGTTAAGTGAGCCAATGCTGCATCATAAACATTATTGTGCAATTACAATGCAAATGACCTTGGTCTGACATAACCCGTCAGGCGACTATAATTCCCGCACTATAATTGGCCAAGAGGCCTGTCAATCATATCGCCCATATCGGTCTCTTCCGGCTGTGTGTCAGCCCTTCAGTAGCAGCAGCAGCAGCAGCAGCATCCCTGCCCAAGAGAAGCGAAATCCGGCCATCATCACAGGTAACGATTTTCTTATTTAAAAGTAGCTCTTTGGGCTCATCCACGCCAGTATGTGAAGTTTTAAAGCAACACTTTCCAGCGGACGAAACGCCCTCGCGCTGTTGCTTAGTAAGTTTGTCAGTTAGCTGCTGGAGCTTTAACGTTAGCCCGTTAGCATCTGTTTACAGGCTCCGGCTGTGCCTCCTAACCTAGGAAGCTGCCTACATGCACAACACTTTTGAGTGAACAGCGACCACTCGCAAAAAAACGTGAGTAAACCAGAATGTCTCAAAAATGCTGTCTAGTTAGGCAGCTCACCAGTTTTTGAGACGCAGCCCAGATTCATTAGAGTGAGAGTCCTGAATCTTTTGGTTTTGTTGTCTTTTTTTTTTCCACGGAGTTATTCACGTTTGACAACCAAGTCAAACAAATAAACAAAAATATCCAGAAAAGCCTTGTCTCTTGATGCTCAGTATGAGTGTTAGAGGTCGAGCCCTGTCGTGTTGATTTTGAGGGCTGTTCAGCTGTCATTTCCTCAGCTTATTTTCCTATTAAAAGTAAACAGACGTTTTTGTAAACGCTTTGCTTTCCGGGTATTTTCATCTGTTTAAGTATGTTGACATATTCTGCACCGACATGAGCAAGTATGTGTTATTCCCTGGGGCTTTATACACCAGCATGTTACAAATTTGAAACAACTTGCTCAGTACATGACTGGGAACTTTCTTTACTGTAAGACGATTTTTTATTTTCTGTAAGTCATTCCAAACGTCCTATTTTAGCAAAACTCAGAATGACAGGTTTTGGATTGATTATTATTACTATTTTTTTTTCAATGGGGCGTGCGTGTGTATTAGTGTTTGACTTATTTGCACAGTGTCATGTTGACTCATGTAGGTTCCAAGGCTTTTAATTGCAGCAACTGTGCTTATATCTGACAAAAACTAATGTCATTTCTATGTAGCCTATAAAAGTCGCGCCATTCCATTACTGGTGTTAAAGTGGGTAAAAGGGTACAGTATTGTGAAGTGGGTCTACGTGGACCACTGAACAGTTATTGCTTTATTTCTGTTCCTGAGGTGTTATGTTGTGTGTAGCTTGGGGTAAGTTTGTAGACAGATATAGATGAGTATCAGGTCACATCCCAGAGAGTAAAGCAAGGTGTCACTGCTTTGTTCTGTGCGCGTGTACATGGAGATTCCCAACACCGCCTTGACTTGCTAACTACTAGTGTGTGTCATTGTCAGGTATGTGCTTGCACCTCTCCCAAGCAGACTACATTCCAAAGGTCTCAATGAAACTGTGAGTAACGCAAAAGACTGTGATTCATTCCATTTCTGAAATCTTGTGGGTGTTTGGGTGTTTCCCTATAGTCACAGGCAGTCATGCCCTTTCAGGTATTTCCTCTCTGCCACTGGTACCTATGCGAAAAACCTTCACAGAATTGGAATGCACATCATTCTTAATAAACTCTAAATTCTCTTTATGGCTTTATGAAAATTTGTTGAAAATGTACTCACTCTCAGGACATCCAAGAGGTAGATGAGTTTGTTCCAGATTTGGAGAAATGTAGTATTACATCACTTGCTCACCAATGGATGCTCTGCAGTGAATGGGTGCCGCCAGAATGAGAGTCCAAACAGCTGATTAAAAACATCACAATAATCCACAAGTAATCCACACCGCTCCAGTCCATCAGTTAACATCTTTTTGAAGTGAAAAGCTGCGTGTTTGTAAGAAACAAATCATTGAGGCGTTTTAACTTTAAACCATCAGTTCTGGCCAAAATACCAGTCTATAATCCATAATGCTGTTTTCTCACATTGCCATCCATCAACATATTTGTTTAGAACTGTTTTGAACTTTTCACTTCTAAATGGTACTTTATCTGTGCATATTTCTCTCCTCATGACAAGATGACTTTTTCACTGGAGAAAGCAATATTATGGATAGAGGTGTTCAAGATGTTAAAGGTGCTGTATGTAAGTTTTTGACTCTACTAAAGCATAAAAATACCATAATGTGTTTGCAGATATTTAAGAAACATGCTAAGTTAACATACTTGTTTATCTGAAAAACTATGCTACAGTCAGTTATTCTCCTTTGAAAATGTGCGTTCCGGGCCGGAATGTCGGTCTCTGTTTTGGTTTGTGAAACCCGCCCACTGCCAGTTTACCCAATTGTATTTCGGCACCCCGGGTTGCCAGTAGGCGGAAAAAAAAGCGCATTTAATTTCATTCATCGTCAAGTGCGCTTGTTCCTGTTGGTGTCGTCAATCTGGCAACCTGCGTGTGTGTCAAGTCTGAGGAGGAGGGGCCGGGTGAAAAAAAACCCTCTCCAATATTTTGAATTTGGACTGCAATACCTAGTTCAACCACTCAGTGTCAATCCTACATACAGCACCTTTAATTGATGGACTGGAGTTGTGTGGATTTCTTGTGGATTATATTATCAGCTGTTTGGACTCTTATTCTGACGGCACCCATTCACTTTAGTGGATCCATTGGTTAGCAAGTGTAATGTTAAATTTCACCAAATATGTTCCTATATCCGGTATCTGCATCTTGGATGCCCTCGGCCCCTCAGGGTAAGTAAATTTAAGCAAATTTTCTTATTTGGGTAAACTATTCCTTTAAGAATTTTAGCCAATTTTTTAAAACCATGTTTAAAAACATTTAAATTCATTAAACATAATAAATGCACAATAAATTCTGCAGACTTACCCTCAAATAAGTGCAGAAAACCCAAGTGACTCTGTCCAGGCCTCCTTATGGGCGATTATTACGTCAAATCCATTCTGTCAACCCTTCATTTCCCAAATTTCATTTCTATCCCCTGGTTCAATCGAACAGGATTCTGTTCAAATGCAACAGGACCTGATTGTGTGCTGGATCTCATTAGACCCAGCATTCTCATTACCAAACCTGCACCTGAGTCTTTATTTTTCACGCAGACGCATTGTGCATGATTATCGGTTGCCACGGCCCCCGCATTCGGTCGTCTCAGATTGCGATCCCCTCTCTCCCGGGAACGCTGTTCCCAGACCAGAGATCATTACTCTAGCACAACACCGTGTCTCGGGGGATGGCTGAGACGTCTGTGTTATTTTAACATTTTAACTTTTCAGCTGATTGCAGAACACTTTGTTTTCTCATGTAGGTGAAAGTGCATCAGAGATAATGTAGCAGATTCTGTTGAAAACCTTGAGCAATACTGTCTCTCTCTCTTTGTCTGTCGTCTTTGATTTCAGAGGACTGATGGTGTCTCCTGTTGACCCTTTGCTTATTTTGACATTGGCTGCAAATTATCAGTGTGAATAACCTTTTTCGGTCTTTTCATCACACAAAGCAATCATATGACTTATATAATACACAAATCAACCAGTAAATTATTCGGGGTTTCTCCTAATATATATATACTGTATATACACATGCAAACATTTTTCTTCTTACCCAGCTCAATCACCCAATGGAAAAACTCTACATACAGGATACAAATAAATTGTTATATTTAATAACTTTTCAAGTATTCATTTATGCTCTGTAATGCCTGTTGCCAAATAAGGTTGTATATGAAAAATTTTCATATAATATGTTCATTGGAGATAAGAAAGTCGTACATGTTTGGAACAACATGAGGGTGAGTTAATGTCAATGATGACAGAACTTTTTTTTTTTTTTTTTTTTTTATAACATCTCACACCTTCACATCCCTTATCTTTTTAACCCAACCGTCTGCATTTTTGGAAACACAGTTAATGTTAAGAGTTGGTCTGACCTTGACACAGACAGCTGAAAGTTGTCTTCCATGCTGCAGTTAGACTCATTTCCTTCTCTCTGATTTACTCAGGAGTCATCCGTGTGGCCTGACCCCTGACTTTTCCCTATTAAAAGTATAACCTTGACCTGCACTAAGGAAAACAATTCCCAATTGAAAACAAGCATCACATGGTTTGGGTCATCAGAAACCAATTAGGCCTTGCAAAATGGTTGAGATGCTTTTGAATAGCTGTTTGAAACTTATGCTGAACAATGAGTTCATTGATACGTGCAAGGAAAATAGATTTTTAATATAATCTTAATTTAAAAATCGAGTGATATTTGTTTATTCAGACTTTATCTTCTAGTGCAGGGGTAGGCAAGTTCGGTCCTAGAGAGCCGCAGTCCTGCAGAGTTCAGCTCCAACCCTAATCAAACACACCTGAACAAACTAATCAATGTCTTCAGGATTACTAAGGCTATAGGCAGGTGAGTTTTTTTTTCAGGGTTGGAGCTGAACTCTGCAGGACTGCGGCTCTCTAGGACCGAACTTGCTTACCCCTGTTCTAGTGGAAACATCAGACTTCTCCAATCTTTTAGTCCTCTTTAACCTTGCACCTTTCTTAAAATCGACTACAAGCTCATTCATTTTGAGTAAAACAGCCATATGTCAAAATTCAATCAACAGCTGATGGATGAAACACAATAAAGAAGTCCTCAGTCTGCTTTTGTTCCCTCCAGTAATACATTATGCTCTGATGTACGTCACAAGATAGAAAAGAAAGAGCTTTGTCATCATTTGAAATGTATTTCCTAATATTGCAGATTGGTTGGTCTAAAGAAAACGTCTGATAAGGTTTATTATTAAAAAGCAATAAACATTGCATAACATATACTTGTAGGTTGGCACCTTGCTTTGCATATCTGATCTAATAGTGGGTTGGCTCACTGACTTTGAATTTCCTGTGTGAGATGGCCAAGAAGTCATAATGGTTAAAGAAAGAAGTGTAGCAGTGAAGAACTCTTCAGTAATGCTTGATTTGTCTTTGCTTTTTGTGTTACTTAAAGACTTCAGAGTTGTCCTGGGGCTGTAATAAAACTGCTAATTGCTCTCCAGTAATTTGTGCTCAGGGAATTCGCCGAGCACAAATAATAACCTACTAGAACAGACCGGGAAAGACATTCAGCAAGCTTTTTTTAATTAACTCTGCAATGGCTACATAAAATTGCGTAGCTTGTTAATAGACTTTAACCGTGCTAGAAGCATTCCCTCAGGTCTCGTCTAGACTGAGATAAGGCTGTCTCGTATTCATCACAGTACAGGTCTGTCTGTCAGGTTACACTCTTTGGAAGTAGACAGTCCAAAGTTCAGTTCTATATGAAATGCGTTCCTGCATACAAGCCCATGGGAGGAGACCCACACTGGCTCCACCTCTCAGTTAAAGTGCGGCCGGCTAGTTTCAGTCAAACATGACGGATGAATGGGTGCATGAATGTAGGCTCTAAGATCATTGGAGGAACAGGTGAATGATGGGAGTTTTGTCCATTTCAGTGTTTTTTTTTTGTTTTGTTTTTTAAACCGACTGCAAGGTTGAGTTGTTCTCTTCTTTGTGAGTCTGGTTTTGACTTTTTGTCTCTCCACAGGTGTCCCTGTTTTGGATGTGGTAGCAAGTCTCCAGAGACAAGAAAGTGAAAGAGAGACCATGTTTTAGAGACCCCGTGTTGGCAGCCCATTATCTACAATGAACAATGAAGACGAGTTCCATGATGCCGTCACAGGTAAGACATTTTAAATGGCACGTGATGGTAGGGCTGTTTTAAAAAAAAAAATAAAAATCAGTAGTATGTTTAGTATTTAATGAAGTGTCCATTTACGCCGCTTTTTTGCAGCCAAATAGCACTGTAACCAATCACAGACGTTGTGCACATGATTGTAGTGGTGATGAATGGATATATGAGACCAAAAAGGTACCTCTAAAATTTTAAATCCTAAAAGAACTTAAAGGGATAGTTTACCCAAAAATGAAAATTCTGTCATTAATTACTCACCCTCATGTCGTTCCAAACCTGTAAGACCTTTGTTCATCTTCGGAACACAAATTAAGATTATTTTTTATTTTTTTTAAATCCGAGAGCTCCCAGACCCTCCCATAGACAGCAAGGATCCTTTCACAATCAAGGCTCAGAAAGGAGATCGTTAAAATAATCCATGTGACATCAGCGGTTCAAACGTAATTTTACGAAACTACGAGAATACTTTTTGTGCACAAAGAAAACAAAAATAACAACTTTATTCAACAATTCATCTCCTCCGCGTCACCCTATAGCGCCATTTTGGAGAGTATCACATACGTAAACCAAGTATGCAACGTATGGACGCGGATACACCGTTTACGCTTTGATCTGCACGTAAACAACGTATCCGCGTACATATGTTGCATACGTTGTTTCAAAAACGCTTTAGAAAACTGAGTCGGGCCAAGTACCAAAACAAACTTGTAGCCAATCAGCAGTAAGGGGTGTGTCTACTCACGATGGGGATGGGAGAGCGCTCGGTGCACAGGACGGACATTAGCCGAGCCGAGCGACGACAGAAAGATAGAGATGGCAGATAAAAAAACAAAAGAGGAAAACGTCTGCGGAACAAAAGATGGCTTACGATAACGCAAGTAGTAGGACCCGTGTAAATATCGGATCAGCTTTCCAGCGCTGGAGAGAACTCAAGGAGCGGGAAGGCCTGCGATCGGACGCCGAGGTTGCTTTGTTTCTTCTCAATCTGTGAGTAACATTTTTTTTTTTTTGCATTGTTTCACAGAACTAATATATGCTGGCCTTTGCTTGAATATGCTCGTTTGTCATAATCGTTGCCTGGGTTGCGTACGTATGTGTGGGGCGGCGCTATCAAAATAGGGGTGAGACCCTTTTGGGGTAGGGGCGTGTTTGTTTGGTGATTTGAAATATCAACATTGGCTACCAGAAATCACTTACCCCACCTTTAATGACAGAACTTTCATTTTTGGGTGAACATCGGAAGTTGTTTGTAACATTACCTCTGTGACACAAGCCCATCCAGAGCTGTCGCATGTCATGAAAATATTGACATTTACACACAGCAGTATTAAACAGCTGTGGTTTTTTTTTTGAGGACAATCTACTTTGTCCCCTATTGTTAGTGTTTTGGCCACTGTTGACTTTAGCATTCGTCTTGTGTGTTTATGATAGAGTGGCCGCAGACATGGCGTGCCGTTCTGGTGTTGGCTTACCGCAGTCTGTTGATGGCTTCAATTATGTAGTGCTGTGTTCAGATGGCTTCTTTCATCGCTGAGATGAAATGAGATAAAATAAATAATGTAATGAATAAATAAACAAGGCGATATGGACCTTGGCAGGTCATTGTGCTGGGCTCCTGAAGTCTGATATCAACAGAGTCGCTCATATCAGATGGTACAAAATATGAAGGAGACGCATTTTAGACCATGTTATTAAATAGTGCCGTAGTTAATAACTGCATGTTGATATCAGGTGTACAGAAGATGTTTGGTGAGGTGTTCTGCATTTAATGTTCCAAAAATTTTAAGAGATGTATTTGTAAGGGTGATATCAATGAATATATCAGTTTTTGGTCAATATATATTTTATATGGAGCTGCTCAATTTAGGAAAAATCTTTAATTGCTTTTTTTAATTGCTTTAATTTTTTTACAGACAGTGTAAAAAAAATATATAAAATCTAGGTTTGCTTTGCCTGTTTGTACTATTTCACTGAAAAAAAGACATAACTATTTAAGAAAAAAAACAAAAAAAATTAATTAAAAACTATCAATAAAAATTGATTGACTATTCATTCTTTCGATTAATTTTGCAGCCCTTATTTTTTTTATATTTAATATAATTCATTTTGACGAGTAAAATGTTTATTTATTTTGAACTCTCGTTTATACTTTTTGAAATATCGTGTTTCAAAAAGAATTAACCCTCTTAAGGTTGCAGTCATGCATCTCTGTCTATCTGTCTCTCTAAATAAGATGTGCTTGTGTGTCCCAGGCTTGGATTCAGATGAGTCGTGTGAAGGCACATCAGAAGCCAGTTTTAAAGATGCTGTAGTGTATGACGGCGCTCAGAAGAACAATGGAGCGGTTCCTCAGGAGAACGGAATTAAGAAGCACAGGTACAGCCAGATTCCAGCACTGTGACCCATATGCTCTTTGTCTCTGCCTTTAATTTTTCTCACTCTCTCTCTTTTCTTTCTCAAGATTCTTATTGTTCATCTTATCTTTACAGTTCATTCTCGTTCATTTATAATCTGCACACCTGCACCTACATAAAATGTTTATGAATGGGAAAACATTCTTCTGCCCTCTTAGGTCGTCTCTTCCTGCCCCCATGTTCTCCAGGAATGATTTTAGTGTGTGGAGCATTCTCAAGAAATGTATTGGACTGGTAAGGATAAATAAATAATCATTTTAGCAGCAAGTTTAGCATGATTTCAATCTTATTTTTGTGGAATATTGCCATGTTCATTTTTCTGTGAACCTCATTATTTAATTCATGTGCCCCTGTAATCTTCAATCAAAAACTTGCCCTCCCCCTCGAAACGATACCTGTTCTCTGATGACGTGAGAACGGGTCAGTAATAATCCCTCGCCTCCAGCAGCTGTCACTCGTATGAGAACACAGCAATTACAAACGACAATGGCCCAATCAATTCCTGATGTACAAGCCCTGTGTTTCTTTTTCTCATTAAAGAAGCTGTTTAACTCGCTGTTTATACACCACAATAGGGAAGAAAAACGCATACAGTTTCTTTTTTTTTATATTCCGCACGAATAGTTCTTTAGCATTAGTGTTTTTCTTTTTCTTTAAAGGAGTTAAACAACTTCTCAGAAAGGGTGAAAATCCAAAGTAGTAAATTATGTACATGCAGTCACATTTGACTGACATAGTTTAACTTTAAAAAAAAAAAAAACATATCTCCTCATTCTCTTATTCATTTGCACTCAGTCCTGCTGTTTTTTCATTCAAAAATCTGCGTTGGGGCCCCTTAAAGAACATGTCTAAACACTGTCTAATGGACATAACCCTGAAGCACTGTACTTTTACAGGGTTTCTTTAAGAACTATTAGTAAAGTAGTTTGAAAGCACGACTCGTGAAGTTGTAGTGGTGTTTGGTCCTGCTGAGTCTGTTTGCTGGTGCTGTTTTCTAGGAGCTGTCCAAGATCACCATGCCCATTGTGTTCAATGAGCCCCTGAGCTTTCTACAGAGAATCTCTGAGTATATGGAGCACACATACCTCATCCAGAAAGCCTGCTCACAGTCCGACTCTATAGAGAGGATGCAGGTGAGACCACACACACCTCTTAAAGCAGAGGTCTCAAACTCAATTCCTGGAGGGCCACAGCTCTGCACAGTTTAGCTCCAGCCCTAATCAAACACACCTGATCCAGCTAATCAAGCTGAACTCTGCAGAGCTGTGGCCCTCCAGGAATTGAGTTTGACACCCCTGCCTTAAAGACAGATTGTTGTGTTTGGATTTTATAATTGGTTTATCATTTTAATATAAGCTAGGGCTGGGTCAATATCGAGATGAATCATAATAGTTAATCATAATAGATATTAAATTGTCAGGCAGTTGTTGAATTCAAACCTGTTTTTCTGTCTTTTTGTTTTAAGACGGTAGCTGCCTTTGCTGTGTCTGCAGTCGCTTCTCAGTGGGATAGAACTGGAAAACCTTTCAACCCGCTTTTAGGAGAAACCTATGAACTCACACGGTAAAGGCACATCAGCAGAGAGTTTAATAACGGACTATGCTGATAAGATTTGAGGATGTTGTTAAATGTGGGTTAGATCAGAATTGGTCTGGAGAGAAACTGGTCTCTGTCATTTATGTAACTCTACTTCTCCTTCCCCTTAACGCTTCCTTCCTCTGCTCTTGTTGGCTTCTCTTCTCAGAGAGGATCAGGGTTTCAGACTGATCTCAGAGCAGGTGAGTCACCATCCGCCAATCAGTGCGTTTCACACTGAGAGTCTGACAGGTGACTTTGTGTTCCACGGCTCCATCTACCCCAAACTCAAGTTCTGGGGCAAAAGTGTGGAGGCAGAACCTAAAGGGACCATCACGCTAGAGCTTTACAAGTGAGTCTATACGGCACGTAGTGTGTGGAGTAGACCATGATAGAGATATTCCCTGATTTATTTTTGTTTTGATTTGGTTTTGCTTTTCATTTATTATTATTGGGGGGGGGGTCGGTTTTGCGTTTTTATTTTTTTGCTTTTTTAGTTTGGTTTTGTACGGAGCCCCGCACATGACATGCAAGAAAAAAATTAATAAATCGTGCACACGATTTACTATTTCATTCCCTCGATTTATAAATTATGTGCACGATTTACTAATTTGTTCCCTCAATTTGCTAAGTCATGCACACGATTTATAAATTGAGAGAACGAATTAGTAAATTGTGCGCACGATTTAGCAAATCGAGGTAATGAAATAGAAATCGTGTGCACGTTTTAGTACATCGAGGGAGCGAATTAGAAAATCGTGCACACGATTTATTTATTTTTTCTTGCATGCTCCGTAGTTTTGCTTTAAATGCCTGCTTTTTCATTTTAGTTTTTTGTTTGGTTGTTTAATATTACATTTTGAATGTAATGGGCTGGGGTGGGTTTGTTGTCGGCTTATTTTTGTTTTGTTTTTTGTTGTTTTGTTTGTTTTGGGATTTTTGTTTGGGGCTTTTTCCCCTTTTTTGTTTGTTCTTTTTTTGTTTAGTGCTTTTTATTTATTTGTTTAATAATAATAATAATAATTATTATTATTATTATTATTATATGTTTATTTATTTTTGCCTTTTTTGGAGGGTGGGGTGTGTTGCTTTTTTAGTTTATTTTATTATGATAATTTCTTTTGGTTTCGTTTTGCTTTGTTTGCCTGATTTTTCATTTGTTTTGTTTTTGAATGGTTGTTTGATATTACATTTTAATGTCGCTAATGCTGGGGGGGGGTCGCCG